TATATATTAAATTCTCAATAATTCAGCACTATTACTATCTGATACGACATGAATGAAGCTCTTTGCAAACTGGGACCCAAACCCCAAATGATACAAAATGTGAGATCATTTGGAAACACAGCTATGTTCTCAGAAACTACAGGAGTCTTCCCTTTTAACTCCCTGTCCTTTGCAAGTTCTGGATACTCCTCCAGGCAAATGGAGACTCTTCCAGTCAATGATTAGCTCATGTTCGAAATCAGACTTCCTAAATTCCTCAATTTCTGAATGTGTCAAGAAGCGAAGGATGCAGACATGATGTTGTATATCTTCACCACTTTTAATGCTGCAATGCTTGGATGTGACAATTTTTATTTTAGGGATTAAGTTTAGCCTTACAAACTTCATCATCATATTAACAAACTGGCGAGTGTATTATTTTTTCACTCCATAAACATCTATGAAGGGTCTGCATTCGCCCTATCAATACTCAAGTTCTGGTAACACAAATACATATGAGACATGATTTCTTAAGTGTGGTAAGAGAAAAATGCAGTGAGGTGCTGTCAGAATTAAGGTTTTATATCAACTTGGCTAGGTCAGGATCCTCAGTGGTTTTAGTAATTAAGATGTAGTAATCACCTCTACAATATGATCTTAAATGATGTAATCATTCCCATGCTGTGATCTGATGTAATTATTCCATGTGTTATAAATCCTTATTTCTATGATGGTAATGAGGCTACAGGCAATCTATCGGATTAGACTGTATCTTGAGTCAATCTCTTCTGACATATAAGAGATTAAACAAGCAAGCAGATCTCAGAGGGACCTATTACCACTAAGAAAGAAAAGCCAGAAGAAGAGTGCATTCTGTGGACTTGGGGTCCCTACGCTGTGGAGCTCCTAGATCCAGGGAAAGACTGACGTCAAGACATATGGAGCTCTCCAAGGAATGCCGGGCCTATGGATGCTGAAAGGAGTCAAGGATCTTTCTCTAGAATTGGCAAATAGAAAATGTCTTCCCCTAGAGCCAGAACTCTGAAATTGGACTTTTAGCCTCCTAAAAGGATAGAATACGTTTTATTTCTTTGAAGGTATCTACTTGTGGTCTTTCTGTTATAGCAGCACTAGACAACTTAGACAGGAGCTATAAGAAAGGAGATAACTCTGAATTCAGTAAAATGATGTGTAGGCTTCTGTTAGATGGACAAGGGCAGCAAGGGGGATAAGGAAAGGAAAGGGACAAACAGGGTAGATACTGAGGATTAATCCAATATGGCTGAAAATGGTGGATGTAGGGTGAATTGAAAGGAATTACACAGAGCTAGTGGGGAAGTAAGGGGAGAAATAACTTCTTTTTAAAAAATTCACGCTTTATGAGATAAGCAACAGTAATACATGGCAAAATTTTCATCTGGAAATAACAATAGGCAATTTATGTCTTCAATAGATCTCTTAAGCACTACTGTGGAGGAAAAACTGAAGACATGTGATATGCTGGCAAAAGAATTACAAAAACCAAGTCTAATAGCTTTACTGAACAATGAGAATTGTCTGAATTAAAGAAGTGGCTATGGGAACCGCTAACCGCACGGCTGGTGGTTCAAACCCACCAGTAATTCCTCGGAAACTGTATGAGTTGGCATTACCAACATCAAGAATCTCCTGTAATACAGATTCACTCTGAGTCAAAACAAATCAACAACACTTAACAACAACAATCCCCTGTGATAGCTAATTAGCAGTTGGTAGATGTCCACATGTGTTTTTATTTGAAAACTAAGATGTGAGTTGCATGTCACTATATGTGAAGAAGTACTGGTGGTGCAGTGGGTTAAGGCTGCTAGCCTACAAGGTAGGTGGTATAAACCCACCAGCCGCTCCATAGGAGAAAAAAATGAAGCTGTCTGCTCTTATAAAGATTCACAGTCTAGGAAGCTTTATGAAGCAATATTACTGACTCTGTCCTCTACTGTCACGATGAATGAGAATTGTCTCAATGGCAGTGGGTGGGTGGGGAGGTGTCAGGATGAGGGGAAGGGATGAGTGGATGACTATGTAAGATAGAGGTTATTGGAAAGTAGGCAAATGTAGGGGGAATGACAAAATGGTGTAGTCATAGGAACAAAGGGACATCTACATACAGACACCTCACAGGCAGCTACACATCTGGGTGTTGAGCTTAACAAACAGATACAAACTGAATAGATATAAATATTCTGTTGTCAAGAAGTGTATGACTTTTGCCCAGTGAAAGCAGGTGGAGTAAAAGGAAAGTTTCAGCAGTTTACTATTTGGTGAGTTGACTAAATTCTTTAAAATTAATTTCTGGCTTTAAAATATAATTCATTTAATTATCTTTCTAAAATCCTGCAGACAAGATTTTCTCACCTCTATCACCTTAATTTTGAATATTTCTCCTAAAGACCTTCAAGTGAGGATCTCGAACATGTGAAAATGTAATTCTCTGAGAAGCCATGATATGCCATTTGAACAAAGTAGTATCAATAGATGTTAGATAATAAAAGTTTTTTGCCTGACCATACAAGTGAGAATTTTAACTTGATACTACATAAAAATAAATAAATAAATAAAAAGGCCAGTGACTTTATTAAGCAAGAGCAAAATTAGTCAGCACCTTTTGCTGCAAGCAACTTCAATAAAATAAGAGGGTTTTCTTATGTTGTATCCAACAAGGGCAATTACTATCAGAAATGCTTTCAAACCCAACTTGTGAAATGAAACACATCTTGCAAAATATTCTACATGTGATTCACTTCAAAAAGAAGCTACACTAATTCAGGGCTTTTCACTTGAAAGGGTTACTTAAAAAGAATACCAGTATCTGGGTCCTATTCACAGACAATTACATAAAAATCTAGAGTGCGTGAGCCTGGGAATCAGTATTTATTTTAATGTTCTAGGTAATTCTAATGTGCAGCAGAGTTTTGAACCCTTGTATTCAGTATAGAGGTAGAAAAGGGAGAAGGCACCGACTCATAGTGACCCTGTTTAGGGATTCCAAGGAGTGACTGGTGTGTTAGAAGTTATCAGTCCAGTGCTTATCCTACAGGCCACACCAATACTGCACTAATGACTAAATATCAGAAGTTCATTCAGAGAGTCTATAAAGTATTACTGCATTATGTATTGTATGTAAATTTTGGTTTCTGATTATCTAAAAGAGAGAATTCAGTAAAAGCCAACACATGTGATAAAAACCGAATGGACAATACAAATGATATTATCAATGATTATGAAATTGGGACTGTCTTAACTTTAAAAGAAAGCATCAAGCATAATTCAACAACTATTTATAAAATTATTAATCTTTTGGTGTCATATGTGTGTAGGATTTTGTTCTTAAACCACTTTCAGGAAAATATTTGATGATATTTGTCAGTAGATATTCTACAGAGCACTAACAAAAATATAAGTGATTTTAAAGACATGAAATCACTCGATTTGTTAGACACATTCTCAGAATATACATTTACTCACAGGGTACTCTTTTTGATGACTTTTTGTGAGCTTATAAAGAGAGAATTTGATAAATGATTATAACACCAATCATATACAGCCACTTATTTTTTGTTCGCTGGGACATTAAGCGTTGTTATCGGCAGCTCCAGTTTTAGCACCAGACAATATATTTGCCCAGAATAGATCCAGACATCAGCCCAATAGTCAAGTCTCTCAGGGTACCTCCGTGTTGCCAAGCTTCAAAATACTGTGCAAGAATTGAAATGTATGGGCATTTTCACTGGTGAATTTTGTCTGACCTGTTTTGATGTCATAAGAACAGAGAATGCCTTCTATCACACAGTCCCGCTGGACTCTACACTTCTGGCCCATCACTTCCCTCATTTATTATAATCTGCCTTGTCTATTTTCTGTTGTTGCTATATGGTATAATGTTGGCGGACTTCACCTTTGATTGCCCCAGTGCCCACGGATACCTGGTCTTATTCAGTGGTCCAAAATATTAGTTGGATGAATGAATAAAGAAACCAAATAACTGGTTAAATGAATACATGGATAAATCCAGCACTTCATTGGCATCCTATTGTGTTAGGTGATACAGAATCAAGTAGTATATTTATTTTCACTTGTTCATTCATTCATTCATTCCCTTTTAATTAAGCATATTTGGCTAGATGCTGAAGTGTTAGTGATTGAAAAGAACTGCCCCTGTTCTCTATGATCTAAGAGTACAGCTAGAAAAAAATCAACATAAATAGCTCTAGGGATTTAACAGCATAAACATAAGGTGCTAAATATGTCAAATACATTCATTTAATTGAAAAAAAAACCTAACAATTAAAAAGGAGGATGGTGGTCCAGATAAATTCTGGGTTGATAACCACAAAGTCAAAGATTTGAGTGCACCAGCTACTCCACAAGAGAAAGATGAGGCTTTCTGATCCCACGAAGATTTACAACTTCAGAAATCCTATACAGCGTTGCTATGAGTCTGAACTGACTGACAACAGTTAATTGGAAGTACTGATGTCTCCAACAAGCAGAGATTCAGAGCATTTGAGAAGCATGAATGCATGTTCCTGGTGTCTTATCTTTGACTATAATAGGTTTGAGAAAAGTGGTTCATGATGAATGGAGTTGTATGATGCTTAGCTGATGGATGGAAAGGAAAGGCTCTGGGCAGAAGGTAAAATTCTGGGTTCAGAGTAAGGCCTAGGAGAAAGATTGAAGGAGTTATAAGTTACTTAGGCTAAGGTATAGTTGAGAATCTTGTTCACAAGGTAGGGTGGACAGTACAAGATGAAACCAAAAACCGAGGTAGTATGAGGACATCTTAGTGGAAAAAAAATGGGCTGAATTCCTGATCTAGATCTTTAGTATGACATTTTTAAATGCTCTGAAAGGAACTTGATAGAAAGTAGACATGATACTTTAAAACATCTTTCTAAGTCACACTCTTTCTACCAATTTAACCAATCAGGGTGGCAGAGAAGCCCACTTCTGAATGAACATGTTAGACATTGGAATATACATACTCGTCCTTGTCCACTTTTTCACGGAGCTTCTTTAGTTGTTTACTTTGGCCGAACTTCGAATTTTGAATTATGTTCTCAAAGTATTCATCTTCCTTGTAGTTCAACTATATTATACAAAAGATTTGGGGGGGGGTATTAAAACTAGAATCTTCAAATTTTTACTAAAAATCATAGGGAATGGTTTCTTAAATTCTAGGATCAGACAAACCTCACCATATTGATATTCATCTTTATGTAATAGATGATAACAGCACATTCTTATTAAGTATTTCGTGTGTAAGGCAGGAGCCCTGGTGGTTAAATGGTTAAGTGGTTTAAGTGCTCAGCTTCTAACTGAAAAGTCAGGGGAAAAAGAGCTGGTGATCTGCTCCCACACAGGTGACAGCCTAGGAAACCCTCTGGGGCAGTTTTACTTTGCCATATACAGTGGCTATGGGTCAGGATCAATGCTGTCACACACAACAACGTGTTAGGCACTGTTCTAAGCATTTTAAATCTTATTCTTTTTGTTGTTACATGCTGTCAAATTGGTTCTACCTCACAGCAATCCTATGTAGAACAAAATACTGCCCAATCCTACACCATTGTCACAATTGTATGATACCACTGTTGCTACTACTGTGTTAGTCTAGCTCATTGAGGGTCTTCCTCTTTTTCATTGACCTTCCACTTCACCAAGCATGATGTCCTTCTCCAGAAACTAGTCCTTCCTCACAATATGTCCAAAGTACAAGAGAATTCTCACCATCCTTGCTTCTAAGGAGCATTCTGGCAGTACTTCTAAGAAAGATTTGTTTGTTCCGGTAGTTAGTTCAAGGTACTTTCAATACTGTTTTCCAACACAATAATTCAAATGCAGGTCCAACTTCACATGCATAGGAGGTGACTGAAAATACAATGGTGTGGCCTGGTGCACCTTAGTCTTCAAAGGAACATTTTTGCACTTTAACATTTTAAAGAGGTTTACATTAGGCAGCAGATTTGCCTAATGCAACGCTGCAATACACTGTTTGATTTCTTGACTTGTTTCTGTGAGTGTTGACTATGTTGTTGTTAAGTGCAGTTGAGTCGGTTCTGATCCATAGTGACCCTGTACAGGGTTTCTGAGGCTGTAAATCTTTATGGGAGCAGAAAGCCTCATCTTTCTCCCACGGAGCAGCTGATAGTTTTGAACTGCTGACCTTGCGGTTTGCAGCCCGATCCGTAACCACTACACTACCAGAGCAAAATGAAGTCTTTGACAACTTCAAACTTCTCTCTATTTATTATGATGTTGTCAGGATTTTTTTCTTCTTTACACTGAGGTGCAATCCATACTGAAGGATATAGCCTTTGATCTTCATCAGTAAATACTTCAAGTCATATCTGCTTCCAGTAAGCAAGGATGTGTCACCTGCACATCACAGGTTGTTAATGAGATGTCAGGTTCTTGTTCATATAATGCAGTTTTTCAGATTATAGAATAAGTGTAATAAGAGAATACATCCCTAGAACACACCTTTCCTGATTTTGAACCATTCAGTAGCCACATGTTTTATTGAAATAATTGCTTCTTGGTCTATATATTGGTAATATATATTAAACTCATTTAATTCTTACAAGAACTCTGTTTGATCCATTTTCAACTTAAGAAAACTGAGACAGAGTGATTAAGTCACTTGTCCAAATTAGTGAGTGGTGGAGTTGGTATTAGAACCCAAGCAATATGGCTTTGTACCTGGGCTTTGTATCTTAGTCAGTATAATTCTCTCATAAGGGTCCCCAGGATTTTCACTGCATAAGCAAACTCATTTAAAAGAGATTTTCAAGCTATTCAGCAAATGCAAAGGGGAGAGAAGGTACTATAGCTTGCAAATCCCATTTCAAAAACCATTGGATTGGGAATCACCATCAGCCCTGGACTTGGGCAAAGTTTCTAGCAGCGATAGTGACCATATTAGTAACAGGACCCTAAATTGAGTCTGAAATCAGTTATATAGTCACTTTAACCTCTCTTTTTTATAAAAAAACTTACTTATGTAATCTATTTTTGCCTTTACCTTGACCTACATTTATTGGTGTGTATTCTTCTCTTTTAATTGTTACGTAACCAGAAGAGAATACAGTATTCTCCTGTGTTAATGCTGACACAGTTGCAGCAACAATAGTCTCAAATAGGACAACTGTGAAGCTGGTGATGGTACAGTACCGGGCAGTGTTTCACTATGTTGTACGAATGACACTATGAGTCAGAACCAACTCGATGGCACCTAACAACAACAACAGCGATAAAATTATATGCTTTTATTTACTTTTTAAATACAGAAAGCATGACTTGCTTTATCCTGTCATAAATAAAAAATAAAAGAAGATCCAAAGAATTGGCCTCTCGGGCCTGTATAAGACATGATAAGGAGTTTGAGGGCTACTTCTTTATCTTGGCCACCCTTAATGTCACTTGATGTCCAGCCTTTAAAGGACGATAGACTTTTCTTAGTACTTTTAAGATCCAATAGATGGGACAAAAAATAACATTAACTGTGTTCATCAAATACAGTGCAAACCAACGAAACAAAAGGCTAAAATAAGCATTGTTCTGACTTCAGGGTTAAAGGTGTTATACTCTGAGAACTAAAGTTTTGTGCCACTTCACATTTCTGAAACTCTATTGTTACAAATGACATGGTTGCTGGCCCCAGAATCTATAGAAGCCTGAAGACTTACCTCAAGATACTCTTTATTCAGTTTATCATCATTTGAAATAAGGTCATCAGGGTAGCCGATCCTTTCTTTGATTGCCAAGGCCTGTGACAATTATAATATGGCATGTGAGGATGATTGTGTCACTTCCAAACACTTACATTATAATTTACCCACCACTAGCAATTGGCTCTGTGGGATAATGCACTGGATCACCAGGTCAATTTGAATCACAAGGTTGGTGATTCAAACTCAATAGCCAGTCCTCAGAGACTCTTTACAGAGTTACTATGAGTCAGAAATGACTCCAAGACACTTAACAACAACTTAATCCATATTGTTTACAAAAAAGTATTTGGTAAGACTTAAACAAAGGCCTTTGCCATGAGTTTTTACCAGAAATTCAAAATAAACCAAAATAGACGTGAAATTGAGCTTCTTATATCTAATTATCTTGTTGTTGTTAAGTTGTGAAGTGCCGTTGAGTCGGTTCCAACCCACAGCAACCCTATATAGGGTTTCCAAGGAGCAGCTGGTGAGCTTGAACCAAGAACCTTGCAGTTCAAACAGCTTTGCAGTCCGGTGCATTAACCCACAGCGCCACACCAGGACTCCAATTCTCTTAGGTTACAAAAATAAAAACAGGTAAGTCATTGTTTTCATATATATTGTATTTTTATGAACTTTTTTTCTGAAAGGGGTAAAATTTATAAGGAAGTCCTGGTGTGGCATTGTGGGATAAAGCACTGGACCAAAAAGTCAGTCTGAACCACAAAGTTGGTGATTCAAACTCACCAGCTGCTCCTTGGAAAACCTATACAGGGTTGCAATGAGTCAGAACCAATTAGATGGCACTTAACAACAACAAAAAATATTTAAAGCTTCCAATCTAGCACCTTATAATTATTTTCCCACCTCACTGACTTGGCAGAGAAAACAGATAGGGGTTTACAGATTTAGTGCTAATATCCTTCCTGAATATTGGTTCCTGGAAGTTCTTATGTTCTTCTTTGGTCTTTAAAGAGAACAAACCCATTTTCTCAAATTTAAATGAATGAAAGTAACTCATTAATTGAGTGAAAGACAGGCTTTTCCTATTATACTAGCACATACATATTTATCACTTTTTTTACAACTCATTACTTCTTAATTTATTATTGAAATTGTTTATTTTTATTAATGTTCCCACATGTTCACTAATTGTGGCAATATTAATAAAATTGATATTTTTTACCTTTTATTTTTCTTAGTAGTTTTCTTACGTTTATATTTATCTGTTAGTTTTTCTTAGTTGTTTGACATTTGATTATGTAATATTATCTTGCTCTTAAATCATTTATCTATATTTTTCATGGGAATTGAGCCTTTATCTCTGAGTTATTTGGTTTGCCATCAGATGGATGTGGGTTTTGTCTACAACTCTGTTACAAAAGCCCACAATGCACCCCAGGCAACGAGGATCATATGTGTCACTGAAGTCAGTTAAGTCACGCCCATTGTCTTGTAGCTTTCCACACCATGAGCTGATTACAAAGCGACTTCATAAGTATAAGGTCGGCTCCCTCCCATTGCCACTCTATTTCCTAGAAGCCATTTCCCCAGACTATTCTAAGTGACATAACTCTTGCAGAAAGTAAAGGTGCTACATTAAAAATATATATTATCAAATACTTCTGGTAAATATTTGGGAAAAAACATTGAGTAGATTTTTTTATTGCCAGAATTCCAAGAGATTAAATTTAGGTTATTGCTGTTTGTGCAATTCTTCAGATTATTCAATATACAGTTACAGTGCCTAGCAAGAAGCTGAAGATAAAATATCAAGCAAGATTACGGTCCTCATAGAGCTTACTGTAAAGAGAAATAATAGGTTGTGAAATGAGTACTCATCGTCAAGTGTGATGTATTGCTGCTGCTTACACCTTAGAAGTACATAACCTAGTCTAGGGAGAGATCATGGAAGACTTCCTGTGGGAAGTGTCTCCTAAATTCTTCTGATCTTGGGATTCATTTTTGTGGTACAACTTGCAGATCCAGTTCTGTAACTCCACTTTGGGAAATGCTTATCTAGAACAACCCAACAGCACCTAGTCATGGGGAACAAATTCACAGAAAGAACAAATCCATCCTGAACTCTGAGGAATCGTCCACAGTAATGGAAAGATAGCTGGTATACCAAGGCCTAAGTTCTTTGGTAAACCACCAAAGGATCTTTGAAAGTTGAAGACAGTCCTTCCATGTGAATTAATTCTGAAAGAAAACTATACTAGAGGTTGATTCTCTTATGACAGTAGTTTAATGGACTTCTCCTGTATTAGACCAAAGAATGGACTGTCCTTATTGTCACTCTAAGTACAAAGGAATAATCACTGGCAAGTCAGTGTTGCTCATAAAGCATGGACACAGTTTTCACTGGACTTGTTCCCTTTAGTTTTTACATAATTATAAGGATCATTTTATATAAATGGTCAGAGTAAATTTAAACCTAATAATTCCTTAGGAATCATACCTTGATTCTTATGCTGCAGATTACGTCTCAATAAAAGTTGCACAACATGGGTAGACAGGAATTGCTGTAAAGTCTCCTTCATGTCTCTAAAAAATCTCCTTGATAACGCATAACCTTACATTTCCTAGAATATTTCACATTTTTCTCCTAGGTCACTTAAAAGGCTAAATTGGGCATGTTTTAAAAGGTTAACTGGAATTTTGCTTTAGAAATTGAGAGCATTTTCAGACACTGACTAAGGTTTTTAAATTTTGTTTCATGGAAGGAAGAAAATAGATATACCAAACCAAATCCACTGCTATCGTCATAACGACTCTACAGGACAGAATAGAACTGCTCTATAGAATTTCCAAGGCTGTAAGGTCAACAGTTCGAAACTACCAGCTATTCCGCAGGAGAAATGAGGCTTTCTGCTCCCATAAAGATTTACAGCCTTGGAAACCCTGTACAGGGTCACTACGAGTCGGAACCGACTCCATGACACATTAACAACAACAACAACATAAATCTTTACACAAGCAGACAGCCTCATCTTTCTCCCAAAGAACAGCTGGTGGACTCCAGCTGCTGACCCTGACGTTAGCAGCCCAACACATTACCACTATGTCACCAGCTTTCCTGAATAGTTGATACAGTTATCTTTTAATTCTTGGTACAGGTTTTCCTCTTGCTTTCTGAAATCTTTTAATAAAAGGGATGGGAATATTTTCAATGTTTTACACTGGTGGGAAGTGATGCTGGTTGCAAAGAGATAATAAAAGATGAAAATCAGGGAGAATATATTTATCGATGAAAAAAGTTGTCAAAAACATTAACATCTTGAAGGTGTTGCATTTTTAAATGCAATTGCTCATTGTTTTTTTCCTATAAGAACATTTCTCTTTAATTGTTAGCTGTACTGCTTTTACCTTTTCTGCAGCTTTCTTCTTGGTTTCAGCATCCATCCAAGTGAGGTCATCTAAAGTCTGAATAAAAACTTCCCGAATCTGTTTAATCAAATCCTCAACCTCAAACCAAAAGAAGAAGAGACAAATTTGTCATGAATTTATTCTCTGTAATATAAATTTAAAAAATAGAGCTACAAGCTGTCTTTATATGACTCAATAACATTAATAATTATAAATTTCTACACAAACTGCAATTTAATGCGGCATATTTGGAACATTATATTTTTACAGTAACATTGTCCACTATTACCTCTACTAATTAAATCCTCATCATCATCATTAGGTGCCTTAGTATCATAGTGATCTTATGTACAAAAGAACTAAACACTGCCCATTCCTGCACCATCCTCATAATCATGCTAAAATGAGTCCATTGCTGCCGCCAATTTGCCAATCCATCATTGGGGTGTCCCTCTTTTTTGTTGACCCTCCACTTTACCAAGCATGATGTCCTTCTCCAGAGACTGATCCCTTCTGATAATATGTCCAAAGTATAAGAGATGAAGTATGAGAGATGGTTATCTTGACTTCTAAGGAGCATTCTGCTTGTACTTCTTCTAACACAGATTTGATTGTTCTTCTGGCAGTCCATGGTAACTTTAATATTCTTCTCCAGCACCATATCTCAAATGCATTAATACTTCTATGGGCTTCCTTATTCACTGTCCAAACTTTCATATGCATATGAGGTTACTGAAAATACTATGACTTGGGTCAGGTGCACCTTAGTCTTCAAACTGACATCTTTGCTCTTGAACACTTCTCAGAGTTCTTGTGCAGCAGATTTGCCGAATGCAATGTGCCATTTGATTTCTTGATTGCTGCTTCCATGACTGTTGATAGTTGATTTAAGCAAAATGAAGTCTTTGACAACTTCAATATTTTCTCCACTTATCTTGATGTTATTTATTGGTCCAGTGGTGAGGATTTTTGCTTTATTTACATTGAGGTGCAATCCATACAGAAGGCTGTGATCTTTGACTTTCATCAATAAGAATTTTAAGTCCTCTCTGCTTTCGATAAGTCAGGTTGTATCATCTGCATATTACAGGTTGTTAATGAGTCTTCCTTCAATCCTGATGCCATGTTCTTTTTCATATAATCCAGCTTCTCAGATTATTTGCTCAGCATACAACTGAATAAGTATGTGATACAATACAACCCAGGTGTACACCTTTCCTAGTTTTAAACCATTCAGTGTTTCCTTGTTCTGTTAGAACAACTGCCTCTTGGTCTATGCACAGGTTCCTCATGAGCACAATTAAGTGTTCTGGAACTAATTCTCCACAATGTTGTTAAAAGCTTGTCATGATCCATGCAGTTGAAAGCCTTTGTGGAGTTGATAAAGCACAGGTAAACATCTTTCTGGTATTTTCTGCATTCAGCTTGTCTTTTATGCTTGGCTTTTCAGCTTGGCTGAAAGCAGAGAACACCAGAAAGATGTTTACTGATTAAATAGATGTTATTAGAGACATCAACAAAATAAAACCATTTCAGAATGTAATAGCTTCTTCTATCCTATAAGAAGCACTAACAGAAATGATTAGCCATTTACCACCTGTAGTTTAGTTAAACATGAGGTAGTATCTGAATAGAGCCTTTTGTCACATCTTTAAGTTGCATTTTTTATTCTCAGTAACAATACAGTAAAGTGTATTTATTCAACTAAATCCTAGTTTACCTTCTGGGTTTTTAAGAAAACACTCATTCTTGGTCAAGTTGCTAATGTTGTTGTTGTTGTTAAGTGCCGTCGAGTCGGTTCCGACCCATAGCGACCCTGAACAGGGTTTCCGAGGGTGTAAATCCTTACGGGAGTAGAAAGCCTCATCTTTCTCCCGCGGAGCAGCTGGTAGTTTCGAACCACTGACCTTAAGGTTCGCAGCCCGATTCGTAACCACTACGCTACCAGAGCTCCTTCAAGTTGCTAATAGTACAGTTTATACTAGTAGAACATGTGACTGAGTATTCTGAATACACTGCTTCTGGAAAATAGCTCATTTTGGACTAAATATTAGGAACAGTCTTTTGAGATAAGGAGAGTGAGATATAGTGAGAAACATTAGCAACTTATGATTCAGAGGTTTGTTGTCCAATTAGTAAAATTATGGACTACTGACCTGTGAATCAGTGCAAACAAAGTGATAATTTATTGTGCTGACAACATTACCAGGTGTTTACTCTCCCCAGCAAAGGCTGCTTCTACATAAAGCCTTCCCACAGCATTTTCCAGATTTCCGTTGACATAGTTTGCACAACGTCTCCAGGTTGCAGCTTCAGACGTTGTGCCATAAATTGCCTGTGGAAGGGAAAAAAGAAAATGGTGCTTGAGCTTGATCAAGAGTGGAGGGTTGGCACATAGGAAGAACATACGATTCTTGACATTCTATTATTTCTGTCTCCTTTAAGTTCTTGCAGTATTGTGTCTCCTCAAATGCACCCATTCCTTCACTATGATAAAATGAATCTGACTGTTTATTCATATATGAACTGGAAAACTCCTATATGTCTTCAGTATCATATCCCAATAGAACTTTTGGCTATTATAAGTTAATATCATCCTACATAGTTTTAGAAAAAGAAAAAAAAAAAGGAAGAAAAACACCATGGTGTTACTATTGCATAAACATAAGTGAGAAGTAATGTTCAAGAAATGAACCAGAAGGGACATCTGATATACAACAAAACACATTTCCTGATCCTTAATGTTTTAGCTGAACTTCAGAGACTTAAGGAGAGTGATATGTGTACAAATGTAAAGACCAAAAAGAGGTTTAATTTAGTTCATGGAAATTTGGCAGAACACCAGTTTTACATGCTTTAATTTTTAAAATGTTGTCTACGATTTCGTTTAAAGGCTAAAAAACAAGCCATTTCAATCGTTCACAGAGTACTTTTCTTTTTGTGACACCAACCAATGTTGACTAGAATGCCTTCTTCCTCAATCTCTCCTCACCTCTCCCCTGAGAATAAGACTAAAATTGTATTAAATAATATAGACACAGCCAAAGAAATGATCTTAAGGCTATCTCCAGGGAGCTGTGCTCCCTGTAAATTGTCCAGGCAAATGTAGTCCATGACAGTGTATCTACTGCGCTAAGAACATCTGAAAATTATATTAATTGAGAAAGATAATACTGCAATTGTTTTTAACAGAAGCAAAATTAAGCTAGTATTTTTTCATGATTGCTGAAACAACCAAATATAACACCTGATACTGCAATACAATCATGATGCCACAGGAGACAATCATAAGATGGCAAAACACAATGAAAATGAATGTATTTTCTAGGCTACGTATCTTAAACATGGGCAGAAGAACCAACATTTGGCATTTTGTCTCTCGGCAACATTCATTATATTCTAGTGGCGTACATCGGATAATAATGTATCTCTTTATGCTTTAAGTCTTATGAAATGATAGATTTTTTTCTTCACCTTGCGAAAAGCATTTCTGGATTCCTTGTAGCTTCGGCTGAGGCTGCTTACAAGATCCATTATGAACCGCCAGGACATTAAATTTTGAAGATCTCTGTATATAAAAAAAAACAAACAAACCCACCACCCAGCAACAGAAAAGATGAGGCTGCAAAGCTTCTAAAAAGGGATATGAAATGTAAACTTTGAGAATATATGCACTCTGACATACCTACCTGGCAGAGTATTTGGTAAGAATGAGTTTAAGTTTGGTTAAATATTCTGGAGCATAAACAATCACCTCTTCCTCATTTGTAATACTAATATTCACTGTTGACATTATTTCATTTGTGAAATCTGACCAGCTGAAGGGCTGGGGGGAAAAGCAGGCATAAAACATTCAGTAATTACATATTCACCTTCTTGCTTCCAAGATTCAATTACAGTTAGCAGGTTAGACGTTAAAAAGTGTATGTTACATAATTATATAATTGAAGCATGGCCACTTTGATATTTGGGATTTTCCTTCCTTAATAGTTTCAATTACATTTTGAATAAAAATTAGTTCTTCTGCACGATTATTTAGGTATCAGAATTGAAAACCTCTAATTTACAAACTATACAACTAGAAATTAGACTAATGTCATCTTCTTTGTCTAACAAAATAAAAAAAAAAGAAATAGCTTTAAAAATATAATTTCTTACATGACAAATGTATTTTAATATCACTGAACGATACATGTTAAAGGAGTCCTGGTGTGGTGCTGTGGGCTAATGTGTCAGACTGCAAAGTCGTTTGAACTGCAAGGTCAGTGGTTCAAGATCACCAGCTTGCTCCTTGGAAACCCTATAGAGGGTCGCTATGGGTTGGAATCGACTTGACGGCACTTAACAACAATAATACATGTTAAAATTATTTTAAAAGGAAATATTTTAAGTGAATTTATAAAAAATAAAACTTCTTTGCTTTATGTAACAATTGAAATATGAAATATAGTGCTCAACATATATATTTTTTGATACACAAGCAAAGTAGTGTTAATCTTTTACAAGCTGTTACTGTTAAGTGCTGTTGAGTTGATTATGACTCATAGTGACCCTGTAAAAGGTTTCCAAAGAGCGACTGGAAGGTTTGAACCTCCAACCTTGCAGTCAGTAGTCTAGTACTTATTCTATGGCACCACACCAAATAGATATTAGTAAATAAGTCATTAAGATAAAATAAAACATTTCACTGGAGATCCTCTTGTATATGAAAACACACTCGTGTTATAGCAGACTTAATATTATACATACAACACAAATGGTTCATTTTTTAATAATAAAAATAAATTTTAAACTATCAATATTTGATCTACAGTAGTTCCTCATACAGTGTGTGAGTAGGAACCAACTTGGTACCATACAACCACCACCATGGCCACCATCATATAAAAATGTTGTATGTTACAAATACTTAATAGTGTATTATCTTAAAGTCCTTGCTTAAATCAATTAGTATCAAAGTGAATCTTATCACTGAATGTAGGTGTTTTCACCTTGTTCTATGAATGTTGCTTCTTTTCCTGATCACATGTATTAGGAATACACAAGAATAAAAAAATGCATACCCTCCAAAACAGATTATTGTTGTTGTTAAGTGGCATCGATTCGGTTCTGATTCATAGTAACTCTGTATAGGGTTTCCAAGGAGCAACTTGTGGGCTTGAACTACCGACCTTGTGATTCAAACTGACTTTGCAGTCCAGTATATTAGCCCACAGTGCCACACCAGGACTTCAAACAGATTATTAGATACTAAATAGGCTTTTGGTGTGGCGCTGTAGGATCAGCACTGGACTGTGAACCACAAGGTCAGCAGTTCAAACCTACCAACTGCTCTTCAGAAACCCTATGCAGGGTCACTATAAGCTGGAACCAACTTAAAAGCACTTAACAATAACTACAATGAACTACAAATAAGCAATACTGTCATTGCTGTTTATAAATGGACTCTAAGAGAGCAACCTTCTTGTCGCTTGTAATCTAATTCTCCATTCTTTAGGTAATTCTTCAGAGATCTTAATGAGAACATGGCAAGATCTCTGAATAAATTATTCCTTTCAAGAGTTAGACAGATATCTAGTGCCTTTATTGTTTGATTGTTAAAATGAATGAACTCGCTACAGTCTCTCAGAAATATTCTCCACCCTGTTATATGACAGCTTGTAATATTATTACAAGGGAGTCCTAGTTTGGCGCTGTGGGTTAATACGCTGGACTACAAAGTCATTTGAACCACAAGATTGGTGGCTTAAGTTCACCAGCCACTCCTTGGAAACCCTACACAGGGTCGCTATGGGTTGGAACCAACTAGACAGCACTTAACAACAGCAACAATATTATTACATGGAGTCCTGGTGTGGCACTATAGGATAAAGCACTGGACCACAAGATCTCTCTGAATCACAAGATCAGCGGCTCAAACTCATCAGCCACTCCTTGGGAAGGAACACTTTTAGGGTTGCTAGAGCTCTGGTAGCGTAGTGGTTACGAATCGGGCTGTGAACCTTAAGGTCAGCGGTTCGAAACTACCAGCCGCTCCGCGGGAGAAAGATGAAGCTTTCTACTCCCGTAAAGATTTACACTGTCGGAAACCCTGTACAGGGTCGCTATGGGTCGGAACCGACTCGACGGCACTTAACAACAACAACAGTAGCCAGAAATGACTTGATGGCATTTAACAACTATGATATTATTACATAGTCAACTTGAAAGGAATTTTACTTGTGAAAAGCAACTCGAGCTGAATATAAACATGATGATATCAAATTAGTTTTTGAGTTATCATGAATTCATCTAAAATCATTTTGAAGTTTAATATATTTCAATAATTAAGAAATGAATTTTAGGAAACAGTATTTCAATGTATAATTTTAAGAAATGGAACAATAAGAATATATAAGACTTGCTACTTACCGTCCCATTAATCACTAATGAAAAGTTATTTTGGACCTGGGCCAATGTCATTTTATTATAAAGAAGCATTGGGTCATTTCGATCTTCAGGTTTAGTGGTAGCCTATGGATTTAAATTTTGATTGTTATTTCAGAACTAGCAATTCTTTAGAAAACTCTACACCTCTAAGAGGGAAAAATAGTCTGAGATAGATATCCCAGAATTTCATTAATTGCTGTATTTGTTTTGTAGTTTATCACATCAAAACGTAATATGAAATTAAACACATTTTATTGTAGTGTCAGATTTAAAGTTCTTCAGTTATCTTTTCATATTTTACAATCTGCCCACCAAATACATAAATAACATTTGCAGTCTTCCCTTCTTCTCTGGTTAATGGCTGGTTCCTTTTTGCCTGCAGATGTTCATATTTTGAATATATTCATCTACAGCTTATCTCTCAAATATCCTCTTTCCCCACCCCTACCACTTTTCAGTAAGTACTGGTGTGGTGCTGTAGGAGAAGCACTGGATTGCTAATGACAAGGATGGTGGCTCCAATCCCCCAGTGTCTCCTGGGAAACCCTATACAGAGTCATCATGAGTCAGAACCAACGGATGGCACTTATCAAGAGCAACCATCCTTTATTCAGTGTCTCACTTAAAACTCAGCAGCCACCGTGCAAAATTCAATACTCTCTGCAAGAATTAGGTAAATGAAACAGAGAGAATTTCTAGTAAGTACTAGAGTTAGGTTACAAGGTATCTGAAGAAAGCAACAACTTATACTTTTGTGACTGTCCCCTCATCCTGACTAATCAGATTACTCCTTTACATTTAACAGCATCCAACTTTATTTTTGTCATTGAGTTTATAAAGAAAAACAGAAAAAACTGTAGCAACCTCAGGTTAGTAGTTAAAACAACAAAAAGTTAAGAATAGAAAAAAAAAGGTAAAGTCTTAAAGATGGAAATTATTTTCAGTCACAGTGGCTCAGATTACCTCTTTGGGTCACTTATTTATTCATTTGTTTCTTTTAAAAAAAAATTATTATTTGCTGAACACTCCATGCATGCTGTACTAAGCTGGACACCGATAGAAATACATCGGTGATAAGAGATATCTCAGGCCGAAGCCCCGCTCTGGAGTCTAAGAGAGGAGATAAAATACAGACACCATTAAGACAGAACTTCAGTAATACCTTCAGTAGTAGCTCTGTCTTATTGGTGTCTGTATTTTATCTTAGATTGTAAGGTTGGGATGGGAAGTTGGACTCCTGGTGTGTAGTGCTGTAGGATAAGCATTGTACTAAAAACCGCAAGGTTGGTGGTTCAAACCACCAGCTGCTCCTTGGAAACTCTATACAGGGATAATTATGAGTCAAAAGCACTTAACAACAACAACACTACTAAGGCTGGTCCAGTGAGACCATAGCTTGGGGAGGTGCATGTGGTAAAAACCCTGACAGTAAACTGTTGTCTTTTAACAATTCTGTTATCAACACAGAAGTGCATGCAACCTGTCACAGTGCCCTTCACCCAAATGCAACTCGAAGCGCAAATCTGGTTCTGATTGGAGATTTCTGTTTACACGTAGCTCCAGGGAGTTGAAAATTGCTACCAAAGATCTGTCTCAAGATTCAGAACGGCAGTAGCAGGTGAATAGAGGACTTTGGGGTAGAGGTTGGTGTTTGTAGTGTGAAGAGGGAGTTCTGTGGACCTTAGACTCAGTTACCTCTCTGGCACTGCAGGACCCATCAGAGAAATGTCAGAGAAGAAAGTGCTCACCCAAACTCCAAGGTTTCATGAGAATAGAAGAAATTCAAGAACACACCACTTAGGCTTTGCTCAAATCTCCCACCTGATCTTTCCTGAACTCAGCAATGGGACAGTCTCAACTCAGGTGCATCGCATTGTCATGTGACCATGTCCAGGTGCTAATGTCTTAACAAAGTGATGCCTCAGGGATTGAGGCAATCTCTATGATCACCTGAAACTTTGAAATGGCATAAACTTTTCTGAATAGTGATCAGTCAAGTGTGCAGCATCTCAAGGATATCTCAACAACTGGTAGACTGTAAGTCATAGAATTTTGATGTAATCTACTTAAAATAGGTAATTACGTGTATCTTGTTTAATTTGTCAAATTTAGCGTGCCTCTTGGATCACAAATTCCAGTTTACTAGATAATTATGCAATTTTAAAGGTCTTCTTTAAGGCAATGATGCAAAAGAGCTATGTATGTTAGTCACTTGGTTAAGGAGTTACAGAAAATTCACCTTTTTATCCTTAAGATATTATAGGAAGAGGGAGAAAAAAGTAACTAAACATTATTCAATGTATCAAAGAAAATGTGTTTTACATTGGCAATTTCTTTTTCCAATTCCATAACTTTATTCATTTCCAAAGAAATCTGGTTGTTATCTATGGGCAGTCCTTTTTCCTGACGAATCAGTTTAGCCACAGCAATCATAAAATCCACATATGCGTTACATGCCTGTGAGAAAGAAAAATAGCAGTAAATTATTGGAGAACCTTCTAAACATTCTTCTCGGTACTTTAACTTAAATTTTGTGCTTGTTCTGTTTTTGTTTTGTTTTTGAAATACAGTACTAGTTTTAGTTCCATACAAATCACGGTAAATTATAAACTTGTTCCTAAATTCTAAAAGAAATGATTTGTACAAATTATTATATGGCGAGGAGCTCTGGTAGCGTAGTGGTTACGAATCGGCCTGCGAACTGCCAGGTCAGTAGTTCGAAGCTACCAGCTGCTCCGCGGGAGAAAGATGAGGCTTTCTGCTCCCATAAAGATTTACAGCCTCGGAAACCCTGCTCAGGGTCGCTATGGGTCGGAACCGACTCGACGGCACTTAACAACAACAACAACGTGTCTTTGAATCAGAGTACATAACTGAAGCATCACTTTGAAAGGATTTATTAGTTTATAACTTGGTTGTAGAAATTTCTACCATTTTCAATTTCCAGTCAAGTTGTTTTAAATGGTCTTAATGAGAATACAGTTGTAATATACTTGGTAAGTAATGACATATCTTTTTTCTTTGATTAGAATAAATTATTTCACCAAATCCTCTTCTTCAAGGCTTCTTTTGCTCACATATATATTGTAGTTATTTTTTCAAATTATTCCTTAAGAAATGCCCTCAAACTCATATAATATGGTCAAGATATATTTATATCTGGAGTCCTAATGTGGAGTTGTAGATAAGCACTGGACAGCAAGGTTGTTTGAAAACACAAGGTTGGCAGTTCAAACTCACCAGCCAGTCCTCAGAAACACTATACAGGGTTGCCATGTGTGGGAATCAACTTGACAACACTTAACAACAATGTTTATATCTACCTCCTCAAAGCAGGCAGTGTCACACTACTTGTGAGAATGCATTCTCCTGAGTGCCTCCAAAATACATTTGTGGGCTTTAGTTAATTCCCTAACTGGCTCTGTTACTGTGCAGTTTTACTATAAAACATCACAGATTTAGGTATCAACTTTCTAAGGAATCAAAATTCTTTATATTTTATAGTCACTTACATTTTAACTTTATGAAAGTAAGCTATAAAGTAGTTGTACTACTGACCTCTTACAGTGTATCTATTCCAATCCAGAGTGGAATTCTGTTTCACCAGGAAACGGAATTGCACTTTTGTAGGTCTAAACCTATTGATATTTACTAGCCACTTTTAACCTATCAGCAATTTAAAAAATGGTACCACTAAGTAAAATGTACTTAGTAGTCAAGTTCCCAGAACCAGCTACAAGCAGGTAAATGTGATTAGGGAAGATTTGGTACATGAAGTAGGAACAAATGAGCTTCTCTATTCTTCTAAGACTTGTTCATGAGGTAAATAAAAAAGTAAAGTTATACTCTGGTTAACTTTTTCGTTTTCAAGAGGGTTTTATATCCCTACCAAGTGATTATTAGTGAAAGAGGCACACTTGTACTCACTGTTCATGCAGAGGCACATCTGAATTTATAGTGACTCATTAAAGCAATCAAACCTAAATCAGTAGGAAAATGAAAGCAGTTTTTTATCAAGCAAGATCCTAAGCAAAAAGTGCAAAGTGCTCGTGAATTTTGAAAGTCAAGAGAACTATCTTAAGTAAGATTTAATACTAGCATTCTGTGACCTTTATTAACTTTTAAATCAACAGTTCCCTGAGAAGAGGGGTTCTCATTTCATGGATACCCTTCAATTCTGGGGCTGACTAGCATCTCTACCCATACACCCGCTACTCAATACAGCAAGCTATTTTTCAGCTTTGGGTCTGCATTAAAACCCTAATATGTAAAATCACAGGTATGAAAGGAAGACTTTGTATATATTCTTACAAATTTCATTCTTTTCCTATTGAAAGGTAATTAGAATTCTTGTTTCACTTTGAAGTAAACAAATATGGCTGAGTTCAGACCTCAAGGGAGCAGCTACTCCAAAGTATAAGCAGACGGTTAATTCAAAACACTGCATCTCAAAGCTTATAAATTTGTCTGTCTTCTTCAGGGAATTACTGACTATGAAGAAGCTGGCAATTTGAATTTTCCATTATCAATCTATGGAGATTTTCTGTACTATAATACGTGGCGCATTTTATTGTTAATGAGGTGAGAAAACAAGAACCAGAATACTCTTAAGCACTTTGTTGACTCTTTAAAGTAGTTTTCTCAAGTACCTGTATCTTTAAAAGACATATTTGAAGACTATAGTAATTGGCATAAGGCAAGTACAAGGACACTAGGCCATCCCTCAAGCCTGCTGAGCTGGTAAAATTTCCCAGAAAACTAGAAGCATGTGATAGCAGTGGTTTCTGGGATGACTGCATATTTAATACAGTTACATGGAATACACTACTCCTGTAATGAGCTCTATATGTTGGGCTGCCAACTACAAGGCCAGCAGTTCATGTCCACCAGGTGCTCTGTGGGAGAAAGTTGAAACTTTCTGCACTTAGAAAGATTTACAGCCTTGGGAACCCTATACAGTGTCCCTAGGACTCAGAATCAACGTGACAACAGACCACCACCACCACCACCATAACCTGGTAACCACTAAAATGTGATGGGTTTTGATAATTTCCTGGCATCCAAATTGACCTGTTGTTGTTAAGTGCCTTCAAGATGTTTCTCCAACTTGAATCCATCATGGATGGATGGTTAGATGGCATGGAGTTGGTTCTGACTCATAGCGACCCTGTACAGGGTTTCCAAGGCTGTAAATCTTTATGGGAGCAGAAAGCCTCATCTTTCTCCCGCGGAACAGCTGGTAGTTTTGAAATGTTGACCTTAATGTTCACAGCCCAATTTGTAACCATTATGCTACCAGAGCTCATAGCGACCCTGTAAAAAGTTTCCAAGGAGTGACTGCTGAGTTTGAACCACTGACCTTGCAGTTCAAACAGATCTTGCCATCCAGGGTCATACCAGGACTCCCCAAATTAACCTAGAAGTTGTCAAAACCCAGTTTTGTTGCCATTGGTTTTTTTAAACAACATACGATTCAACCCTAAGGTCTTAATTTTCTTGCTTGAGTTCTAGACATGTAAAATGCCAAAGGATTCTTTGACATGATTTGGACAGAAAACAATCAATAATATTTTTAACATCTAAAAAGTACATTTACCAGGATTTAAAAAAAAAAAAATTGAAATGTTTTTGTTTTGTTTTTTACCATGAGAGTAATTAGTTACTAGGCCAGAGGTTAGAGTTTATTGCATATTGTGGGGAATACACATATAATTTTTGCAACAATGAGCTCAAACATAGCAAGACTGTGAGGATGGCATAGGGCAGGGAAATGTTTTGTTTTGTTATACATAGGGTACCTATGAGTAAAAACCAGCTGTGCACCTAACAACACCACCAACATATTTTGTTAAATACAGATACTTAGACTGGGTGAAACCATCTGACTCAGCGACACCTGGTGCCCAAGTAATAAATGAGATCAGCAGTTCCCCTTGCATGATTGATCTTATCAAGTACAAATTGTGTGTTACACCCTATCATCAGCTCACCATACATATATTACTCCCGATATAGCCGCTGAGTTGTTTAAAGTACAAAAACAATTTCCCTATAAGATAGCTGTCCCCAGAAGATATCCTAGGTCTGCTCAAGTTTCGCCATTTCCCTTGCTGTAGCCTAGTGCACCACCATCTTTCACTCCGACTACCATTGGCTTGCTCTGTGATCCCTCTGCTTCCATTATGATCCTTCCTCCAAACAACAGCCAGAGTGATCTTTTAAAACCCCAATGATAAGCCCACCTAAATTATCCACCCATTCCCACCACCAGTCATGTCACCATTTTAAGTCTCCTTTATAAGACTCTATCACAACTTATCTGATTCCCTTAATTATTATCTGTCTCTTTCTAATGACAGCAAGGCCCTCTTCTACCTAGAAAGAGATAGATGACAAATGCCATTCCACTGCTTGCAATCAAAAGTACGTCCAATACTCTTATTTCCTACAGGACTATTTGACTTTTTGTATTTAAGAATATTTCAGACACCTTATTAAATTTTCAGCATTTTCTCAGATTTTAGGTAAACTTTCCCTTGTTTTAGGCTTGCTAGTTAGTGTTTCTTTGACTTTGCAATATATTAAAAATGAATTCTTTTCCTACTCATTATTAACCAATTTTTGCTACTTTATTCCTGAAAAATATCTTTTCTTATCCCTACTTTCTTCATCCATGCTCAAGTCAAATAGCTAATGGCTCTCTTCTATTTGTTAGACACTTCCCTTGGGAAAAAGACTATTTCACTAAAAATCAAGGGTACAAGATTTCTTCTTGGCTTCATTATCCACTCAATATCGGTTAGGGTTCAAGATCGCCAGCTGCTCCTTGGAAACCCTGTACAGGGTCACTGAGTCAGAACTGAAGCAAACCTACTTAACAACAACACAGATTCCTCAGTAAGGAAGCTCCAGTTCATTGGTGCCCTGAAGCTAGAATATTCAGTTTACCGTCTTCATTAAAAAGGAAATGGTGATGCCTCCACAGAGAAGGCAGTATACAAAATGCTTTACAATACATTAAAATAGAACAAAAATTAAAAAACCAAGGAGTTCAGTAAAATTTAAAAGATTGCTGTAAAAGAATAATCGACACCACACTGCCTAAACAGGTGATCCCCCTTAGCTCCTGTCAAAAGGAACATGAGCCTATGTAGGGAATGTACAACTAGTTGCCATTGAGTTGATTCTGATTGAGAGGGACCCAATGTGTGTCAGGGTTTTCAATAGCTATTTTGGGGCGGGGGGAAGTCTGGATGGACTTAAACCTCCAATCTTTCTGATAACAGTTGAGTAGATCAACTGTTTACACTACACTGGGATTTCAAGGTAAATGGACCCTCTTGCAGGTCAGGATGGCTTCTTTTATGCTTTGGAAATCAAAAGTTAGAATGCAAAGACACTCAGATTCTCTGTAAATCTCATTGTAACTGAGCCTTATTCATCATGGTGATGAGAAA